AACTTAGTTGTCTTCACAATAAATAACAAACCAAATTCTTGTAAGAAGAAGAAGAAATTGAAAGTTTACCTTTCTTTCTTAATCCTTGCCAAATACATGACATTTCTTAAGCATTCTCTTCACAGAAGCCATTTTCTTGCCAGATAATTCTGCAAGATATGCCAGAAGAGAAACATCTGCTTTCCACATTTGGGACCACTTCTGCTGTTTTTGCAACAAAAACCTCAGTCTAAGGTCAAACCATTGCAATAATGGAGTCTCCGGCACAGGGGATGTGGTGGTAACATGGAGTGAATTGGAAGAAAACAAAACAACCAATTCGGAAATGTGGCCTCAAATAAAATGTCAATTTTCTACAAGCAAAATCCTATTAAAAAGAAACCTGGAACAATTTCAGTAGCAGAAAATAATCCACAAACATTCTGCTTTGCTCTTCTCCAACTGACAAGGTCTACAGAGAGAAGAAAGATTTCTGCCCTGCATGACAACAAAGAAAGCCACTTCCGATTCAGTCTGTAAGAAAAAAGAAAACAAACAACTTCAGTAACTATTTATCAAGTACTGTATTAGTTTGCTAGGGCTGCCATAACAAAATATCACAGACTGGGTGTGGCTTAGAAAACAGAAATTTATTTTCTCACAGTTCTAGAGGCTAGAAGTCTGAGATCAAGGTGTTGGCAGGGTTGGTTTCTCCCGAGGTCCCTCTCTGGCTGGCAGATGGCAGTCTTCCCTGTCTCTCTGCACGGTCTTCCTTCTGTGTGTGCCTGTCTTAATCTCTAATTATAAGGACACCAGTCATATTGGATTAGTGTCTGCTCTAGTGGCCTCACTTTAACTTAATTACCTCTTTAAAGACCCTGTCTCCAAATATAGTCATGTTTTTAAGTACTGGGGGTCAAGGACCTCAATATATGAATTCGGGAAGGGGGATACAGTTCAGCCCTGACACGTGCCTGCTTGGTGCCACACACTGTGTACAAACAAATGAGCGTTAAAAATCAAAGAAAGTTCAGGCTTAACTGGTTCATTTTTCCACAGAAACACAAATCTGTAAAGAAATAAGGAATTATCTTTGCCTTAGGAGGTAAAGAAGTGGTAAACCCGGCTCTGGAACTGATGCACATTTGCCAGAGGGAGCGGCACTGCCTGCTGTCAATGAGGTCTTCTAAGGGAAGCTTATCCAAAAACGCTGGTGGCCGTACGCATGCGTGTACTGGTGGGGGCCTCCACGTTGGCTAGTGTGGGCTACTTCTTGGCCAGTCCATTCTTCAACGATGTGGCCACGTTTCTGTTGGTTCTTCTTTCAGACACATCCTTGGGGGCTCATTCTGCCAGCAAGCTCAGGTCACCGGTTGGCAGCCTCCAAGAGTCCAGCCCCATGGCAAGGCCCTCCTGGGAAATCTGGTTAATATTTGACAATAAGAAAACTACATCCTCGAAAACAACCTTTCAAACTTTATCTCAAGCCTGAGGTTTTCACTCTCTTTGCAAGGAAATGAAAGTGCCAAGAATGCCGCTCTCACTTAGGGGAGACAATATACCTTTGTAGTGAAAAACGAGTTCTCTTCTAATTTGCTATTCAGAAGGGACTTAATTGGTTTTGCCCCCTCATAGCTTCTCTTTCTACACTCCCTGGAATCCGAAGAAGCTAAATGTTCTTGGCTCTCCACTGTTGTTTTTCTATCTCTAGGCGCCATTCATTACCCATAGCTTTTTCATCAAACTCTCATTTTACATTCTCTTGGTCTATTACTGTATCTTTCAATTCTATACAGAGGATATCATTCACTTCTCAACTATCCATTATCCTAACAGTCATTTTTACTTGAATAAAGTATGTAATCTGTTCCTTTGATCAACTATATCAGAATATCACGGTGTCTTTAAGTGCTAAGAAATCAAGGACAGCGCCACTCAGGAAAGACTGGGTTGTCTGCAGAGCCAGCCTTGCAGAATTAACTTGCCCTCAGCTAATGGTGGCTGTAGACTAAAGTCTCCATGCACAGGGAAGGCCGAGCTCTACTTCTGAGGTCTGAGACCTGAACTTTCCAAGGCTATAAGGTGCCGTAAAACAGAAACAAGCCACTGACCTTCCCATAGCACATTCCTCACGAATGAGAACTGAAACAGAATTTGGGTGCCATGATACCAATATTGGGGAATAGACAAGTGGGGACAAATGTTAACCCACCCAAGCACAGAGTACAGGGAATACCACTCCTTGGAGTACAGAAATCATTGCACTAAGAAGTGGGTGTCAGTACATGCAAACAGGATGTTTAAGCAACTAATGCCAGGATAGCCAAGTCCAGGAAAGCTATGGCTGGTGTACAAGACTTTGGGCAGACAGAAGGTTGGATAGGATTAGTTTGATCAGTCAGGGAAAAATCTGGAGATCCAGGGAGAGATGGCTGGCAAAGAAAACTTAAAAGTTTAAAAGAGAAGAGAAGAAAGCTAGACTAGAGGAAGGTAAGACCCTAAAAGGCGAGAAGGAGATTTAGAAGTGATCAGGAGTCTGTTGATCAGGGTAAGGGCAGCCAGCTCAGGATTTCCCCAGGTGCCTGGAGCAATTTCTGCCACGATTAAGGTTGTGCTTGGAGAACATATCTTCAGTGTCCTGAAGACTATTTACATATCCTCTAAGTATCACTTCCATTCTTCCCTCTTTATATTTGCAGCTAAATTCTCTCCACAACGTTTCCATCCTCAGGTTTTTCCTACCAATTCAACTTGCTGTCAGACTTCCTAAGTCTCTTATTTCTTCTACGTAATCTGTTATCTTTTGATCCAGGTAAATTCTTTTATTATGTAGGTGCCAGTCACAAAGGCCATTGCAAGCCTTAGTAATATCACAACACTCTATTTATGCCACCCTATTTGATTTCAAACTTTCTGTATTTCTAGTCTCTGTGTGTTGACTTAAATACAGATACCTTTCATTACAAGTGCTCTTTCCAAATTATTTTTTCATTTATTCTTTTTGGCTATGAATTATCAGTTATCTCCTATGCCTCATTTCTTCTCCCTGTCACCTCTATTGACTTTCACAGTGACAAGCTTTCTACTTTTATCTGAGCCTTTTTTTTATTCCTCTCTCAAGCTTGTCTGCTTTTAGTCTTCTAATTCAAGCTGATGAATGGTCTGCCACCCAAGGCCCTCTGACACCTGATCCCTGAGTGGAAGCCTGTTGTTCTGGTATGCTACACTGTGATTCACTGCAGACATATCTCTCCGAGACTGGGATTCGATGACGCTGTACACAGAGAATGAGCTCTTCTAACTGCAGCCATGTTTCTTCTCACACATAGAAACCGCTCGCCATCTACCACAGGGCGAGGCACAGAAATAGATGGCCTGCCTTGGAGACTGCACATACTCAGTACTTCTTATTTAGAATTACATTTTATATAAATAAAAAAAATACAGCAAAACGTCTATGTCTCTAAAAATATATGCAGAGACCTCTATAAATACCATACACACTTTTGCAGCACAATTTATTATCTGGTCATAGTATCTGGATACATTAATAGGTATTGATTTAACACCATGTAATCTCTCTTGACACACAGCACACCCCCCTCCCCCTCCAAAAAAAAACTTCAAAATGTGCAACAGCAATAAATATCAAACTTTCTGATCTAAAATGTATAAATATAAAATATCAGTCATTTCTGGAAACATCTTAAGAAAATCCGGCAACCACATGTCCATGAGCAGGTGTCTGGTGTTGATGGTGCTTGTATTTGGAACATATCACCTCAGATCCAACACAATTATTTTTATGTCTTTTACCAACACATGTTTGCATATCTAGGAAAGAAAAAAATCGGATTTTACATCATAATGTTCAACATATGATTTTCTTTAGAGAGGGAGTATAGGTTTCCTAATTTAAAATTGTTTCTAATTTTTAAAATATTTCCAATTAGAACAAATGTAATCACATTCATTCATTTTCAATAATAAGAAACTATTTACACCAGCTGCCAAGTAATTTTCCTTTTAAAGAAATTCTAACTTCAAAGTAATGTTTCTCTGACGTTATAGCCACAGAACCTCCAAGCAAAATTGGAAAAAAAAAAAGATACAGTTAAATAACATTTCTTTTGAACTGTACAAAGCAGATCAAGAAGTATAATTATAACCTTCATTGAATTGTTCTGAAGAAACTAATTTGGCCATATCAACATTTAATATCATTTCACGCAACATTTAATATCGTTTTCTCTAATAATTGTTTGCTTATTTGGACTTCGAAGAAAACTTTTTTTAAGTATCATACAAATACATAAATGCAAAGGTAACTTTGTGCATCATCAACTCTGCTACAGAAATACTGAAATTTCCTTGTAAATAAAATAATATTGGTAAGAAGTCATAAATTTCTTAATTTCTTAAAACACAAAGATTGATTGATTTTTGAGATGAAACTCCAAACTAAGCAGTACAGTGTTTTATCCCACATTAGAGACTATTTCTCTCCTTAAAAACAGGGCAAGGGGCGGCAAAAAATAAATAGCTGCAAAAGTCACCAACAACACGTACTCACACTGAATGGCCTGGGCTCCTTGGTGTGTGGGTGAAAGCCCTTCTTTTTACACGCAGAAACTTCCAGCATGCCAGCATTGGTGAGCCGGAAGATGCCAGTGCTAAATGTTAGGGTGAAAAAAAGGTATAAAAAGTAAGAATCAGGTGGGCTTTCCAGATGCTTTATTTGAATGGAACAAGTGTACATATTCCTCAAATGGGATGCGGAAACCACAAAACTAGGAATTCCATGGGATTTTTTTTTTCACCAATCCTAAAATGACTGGCATAGAGGAGAGAAATCGTAAAAGGGACAAGGCAGGTGAGCTGTTGTGTGGGACCCCAGAGGAAAGGCCAGGGTCCCACAGGAGGAAATTGCAAGGGGAAGATATTTCTAACTCTTCTAATAATGTCAAAACTATTTATAGCAACAGCAAATATTTATTAAGCGCTTGCTGCGGCACCAGATACTATGCTAAGCACTTTACATTGCTACTATCTTATTTCATCTTTGTATCAGTCTACAACAGGCGAGTAGTAGGGATGAAGCAGCTGAGGCTGGCGGTGGTCAGGTATCCTGCCAGACATGCCACTTGAGGGTGGAGCCAGGATTCCTATGCTTGTAACTACTCTAATACAAGCATTCTCTCCCAAACTGGAAAGGTTTTATAGGTAATTAAGGCTGGGAAATTTCTTACAATAGTACATAATACAGTAGAACCAGGATCTCAAAAGGCAGACTAGGATAACATCCCTCTTAAATGTTATCCACTTCAAGGTCACGCTAACCGAAGAAAGAAAACCAGTAACTGTGCCATGGAAAGGACCTTAAAAAGCATAAGACTGCAGAGCTAGAGGCCTGTGGCAGCTGACGCCCCCCATGTCTTTTTCCCGAGGCCATCGTGTGTGCGCTTGCCTATCCACGAGCCACAGCCTGCTGTCGGGACACACAGGAACCCAGCAGCCCCAGACAAAGCTTTCCAAAAGTTACACTTACTCTTTATGCTTTGGAGAACAAACAATGGCAATGGCCTCTGGCAACATGAGCTGATAGGAGCAGTGAGTATGAAGATCAACGCTGGATAAGAATGCAGTTTGGGTGGGATGTGTCTGTAAAAAGAAAACAGGACAATCTTACTAGGGCCGCCTAGCCTTAGCCAAGGCCACAGTCCATTCTAAGAGGAAATTCTATTTATTCACTGTTTTCTTTTTTACCATTATTAACCAAACAAGGATTTTTAAAAACGTTTTGCTAGCATAGTCCTTCCCTTTATACATGCCTATTATTTACTTTTTTTTTTTTTTGGAATAACTGCAACTTTGAGATGAGGCTCCTAGGAGTGTTAGGGTACATTCTTCTTATTAGGGAAGAAAGAACTGGAAATTAATTTGCCAGAGGCTTTAGATAGATTCTTACATAATTATCACAACTCATCTATGAGACCCTTATTTTATTATTTCAATTTTATATACAAGGATCCCAAAACTAAGGGAGGTTAAGTAACCTGCCTGTGGTCACATAGCTGGTGGGGAGCAGAGCTGTGACTGGAAACCCTGGACCAGAGCTACTTATGTACAACATCATGAACATGAAAAGAAAGTTTTCACTGCATATACCACATGTTGCTGTGTATCCTTTTGTGGACTGCCATTTTCTATAAATGGGAGATCGGGAGTCTCCAAGTTGTTGAAGGTATTTGGGGTTCACCTTGCACAGCAACTAAATATTCACATGATAAGAAAGAAGGGGAGATTATAAATTAAAAGCAATCTTCCAAGTATCTGGTTACATAAAAACTCATGTCTATGCAAGGCAAATCAGAGGTTCATACGTGCATATGAAAAATACAAGCATATACAGTGATTTAAAAATTTATATTAAACCCTAATTACCCTTGAAAAAGGAATGTGACCATTTTAATCATGAAACAAAGGACCTTGGCACACACTCTCTGGGTCCTGGCTTCCTTACTCACTCACTAGCTATGTGGCACAGCGAAGATTACTCTTGTTTATTTCATCATGCATAAAATAGGGATAATAATAATTTTCTTCATGGGAGTGTTATGAAGATTAAATGTGACAGTCCATGTCAAATTCTTAGAACAGTGCTTAGGTCACAGAAAGGAATCAAAGTTGTTAACTGTTATTATTGCTGTTGTTATTTTAATGTTGTCATTATTAACTGAAGGGCATAGGCCCACAGTAGTAGCTAAATATCTTTATATAAAACTATGGGGTATTGAAGAAATGCAAAATTTTAAACTTTTCTCTACTTTATTTAATAGAATAAAGGTAAAATCAGATGATTATTTATAGAAAGATACATGTTCCGCAAGGAAAAAATAACTCTTGTTCTATAAAGACTTAGATCAACAGAGGAATGGAAATTATTCTTTTAAAATGCAAATCTTTAACTCAGGGTATGAGTGAGAGGATCTGACAGCCTGTTATCTGACAGGGAACACCTTCTCCTAGTAAAATAGAGCCTTCCATGTCGCGGTGAGAAAGTAAGAAATGTTCAAATGACTATAGTGCTGTGGAGACAGCAAGTAGGCTATCAAATAGACAAATCACTTTGCCCGTCAATTTATTTCCAGACTGAATGTGCACCAGATGACCTTCTGAGTCCTTCATTTCTGCCAAGAGGAATCACTTCGATTACAATGAAGACAGTTCTCCCATGGGAGAATAATGTTCACATTCCCTCACTCTATGGAAATGAAAATGATGATGATGATGATGATGATGACAATGACAGCAACAGTACCAGATGCCATTTATTGCAACTGAATACTGTGCCAGGCACTGAACTCATCGCTTTCCATGAATTATATCACTGAATCCTCACGACAACAAGATAAGTGCTATTATTATCCCTATTTTACAGATAAGGAAACTGAGGTAAGCAGGAGAGCAGGTGACTTGCTGAATCCCATACAGCTAGTCACGCCAAGAAGTCTAAATTCAAATCCAGGCATGTCTGATTCTGATTCAGACCTTTCCTATGACTAATTTATATCTGATAAAAAGTCAGCTCTGGAATTTGTTGCTATTATTATGCTCAATAAAAACCATCGCAAGAAGTCATTATAATAATTGAGGTTCAGAAATGTAACATTTTTGTATTCTCATCAAGCCACAACAATTTGATGTGGTGAAATAAGTTACACAAAAAGTAAAGTCCTAGAATTCTAGAAGTATGCCAAATTTATTCTTTAAACAACTTAACTTCATTTTTACAGACATTACATACACAGAAGGTCATAAGGGAGAACCTTTTGTTTCTAATTTGGGAAATGTTTGTAAGACAAGCTAACATTGACTTGTCACCATAAGTGTATAATTTAATGGACTGTCATTCTTAATGTTACAATTTCTTTGTGACAGTTTGTTTTGCTTTAAAATGCATTCTTATAACAGAAATCACGTTAAGTTAAATGATGTCTTAAAAATGTAGCAATTTCCAAGCAAACAGTAAGGCATATTACTTACTGTTAAGTAAAGAAAATAGACAAAGGGAAACTTTTGCTAACTTTTCATTATAAATCATTTCTTGCATTTGAAAGGCAGTTTATACTTTTCAAAGGGCTTTTATACCTAGTATCATGTCTACTGCTCACACAAATTCAGTGAGGAGAGAAAGCAATCATTAGCTAAGAAACCTTGAAACAAAGAGGCTAGGAGTCCTGATTAAGGGCACATAGTAATTTACTAGTACCTTACAGGTGGAGCTGGGACTAAAGTCTCCTCTACCCTCCTAAATTGCTTAACATGAAATGCTTGGCAACTGTGTGTGTATGTGTGTGTGTGTGCACTGCTCCCAGCTATCCCTTCTGTATAAAGCAAGTAAAACACAAAATGATCACTTATGATTCTTCAGGGGCATTCACAGGTCCCCAGAATGTGTTCTGGAAATTTTCTTGGCCAGCATTTCATATCAGTGGGATGACTTGTCCCTACTTGCTATTATTTCAATCATGGTGTCCCCACCAATATGCATGTTGAAACTTAATCCCTAATGTAAGAGTATTAAGAGGTGTGGCCTTGGAGGTGATTAAATCACGAGGGCTCCACCCTCATGAATGGTATTGGCAGCCTTGTGAAAGGGCTCAAGGTTGAAGGAGGTGCTCTCTCACCCTTCTGCCTTCCGGCATGTGAGGACAAAGCGACAAGGTGCCACCCTGGAAGCAGAGAGCTGCCCTTACTAGACATCAATGCCAGTGCCTTGATCTGGATTCTCAGCCTTCAGAACTGTAAGAAAGAAATTTCTATTCTGTATAAATTACCCAGTCTCAGGTATTTTTTTGTAGCAGCAAAAACAGACTAAGACATTACCCTAAGTCTAGCTGTGGGTGACTGAATGGAAAAAATGTCCCCCAGATGGATTGAACTATGGATAGAAAGAGTATCATCATCGATCTGTCAGCTAAAATAAAATTTTAAGGCTTACCCCCCACACCGGCTGACTAAATGGACTCCCTCATAGCCAAAGGAATATCCTAAAACTAAATTGCCTGCCAGGAGGAAGGAGGTCAGACATGCCTCATCATGTCCCGCTCTCTTCTTGGTGACATCCCTTGTAACCCATTAACAGGCCTAAGGGTATGCAAGGCAAACCTGCAGGTTCTCAATTTACACAACAAATCTATGTCCAGTGGCTTATCTCTGATAAACATCTCCTTATGTGGAAACATTCCAAGCCTTTAGACAAAGCTTCATGTCTTTAACCAATTACAGGCCAAAGAATCTTTTAACCCACCTATAACCTGTAAGTCCCCACTTCGAGATGGACCACCTTTTTGGGCCAAAACAATGTATGCCCCCCACGTATTGATTTATGACTTTACCTGTAACCCCTGCCTCCCTGAAATGTATAAAACCAAACTGTAATCCAACCTCTGCGAGTCCACTTGCTCAAGGCCTCTTGGGCGTGCTCCGGGTCATGGTCCTCAAATTTGGCTCAGAGTAAATCTCTTAAAATTACTTTACAGAGTCTGGTCTTTTTTTCCATTGACAGATCACAATAGCTACAATTTTCTGAGTTCTTGAAAAATGTGCTAAGAAATTCACTGACATTATCTCATTTAATACTCAACACCATATGAAGTCACTTATTGTAATCCCCATTTTATAGATGATAAAACTGATGCTCAGATGCTTAAATAACTTGGCAATGTTCCTACAGTGAATTCTTAGCAGAGCTGAGATTTAATCTCATGTCTATTTGACTTGTAAGCCCTTTCCTGCTCCTATGATGGTGTGGTAGATGTTAGAACCCAATGTTTTTGGCCCTATTCCCTTGTCCTGCTCTGTGGCTATTTACATAGTAATACATACATAACCCTATTTAAAATTTTTTTTCAGAAATTTTCTTAAAATAATCTAATTTAGCCACACAGCAAAAGGAAAGAGAACATTAATAATTGTCTAGTCAAATCAGTTCACAATGTGGCTAAGCCTGCACTAGAGTATGTAAAATCATCCAAAAAAGTTACCTAATCTCCAAATGTTACTCTTTTTCTCTCTTTCTCTTTCAACTTTAGATGGCACAAAAAAAGCATAAGATACCCCTCTTCAGATTCCACAGATTTAGACACAGTCTAACATTGGAGAAAATGCTTTAATATGATGACCTTTATTATACTTGAAAAAATAAAAATATAAGAAGCTATTTAAATTAAGCTAACTTTTTCAAGGAGGAAAATGGCGCACCATATACAAAGAAACTTAAACCCAAAAGGTCAAACATACATGGATCCATCCCAGAGTGAGGAGATCGTGTTGATCCTGAACACTGAATAATTCTTCTACATTCTCCATGTCACAATAGTCTGGTCCCGCAGACTGCTTTGGCACGATTACGTGGGTAATAGTAAATTCATTATGTGTCTAAAAAACAATTAACAAAAAGAATAACATGTACCAGACAGAAAGAAAGAAAAGAAACAAACCCTGAGCAGGAAGAGCAATGTTTTGCTCCAAGACTACAGAGTACCTCCACCACTTGCATGTATCGCTCCCAGCCTCAGACACACACCCCATCACACAAACAAAGTCCCAAAGGTAAAAATTGATCTTTGCCAAAAGTTTGAGAGTCAGTTGTTTGGGGCTTGAAGCCCATTTTCACAACAAGATATGTTGTCACAAGATATGATATGTCATAAATAGGAATTAGCATTCTAGGCTGGGCCATGGAAGTTTAGTTAATAAATAATGTCTCGATATATATCATCTACACAATGGAAAAGTCAAAAAGAAACAAGAGCAGGTTTATTTGGAGGGGGAGAAACTAGTTAATTTTGTGGTGTTACTGAAGGGCATTTCTTATGGTTGTAGAGGTTGATGGTTTTGTTTTTATTTTACTAGTTATATTTAATTTTACTTCAAGACAAGACCTTCCTCTAATATTGGGAGGACTCCCTAGAATCTTCCATAATTAAGATAATGTTTTGGATTTACAATTAGATAAGGAGAAAGGAAAAACAAATTATCCCCCTCAGGTAAAAGATAAGAGTTGAAAGGAAGAAGAGGGTTGTGAAGAGTGCTTGGATCCTCAGGTAAGAGATGTTTGTGCCCCAGAACACTGTCTTTACCCAGGCAGGCTGGCCTTCACAGCATCCTGTGAGCTTCACGTGGCAGGGACCGTGGCTGTTGTAGGGTACTGAATGCCAACACCTAGCACAGCACCTAGCCTGGCACATACAGGTATCAGTAAATGTTTGTCTGATGAAGGAGTGAATGGATAATGAATGAATCAATCGTGGAACTAAATACAGCATAGGAGGAGCAAGCAGCCATTGCACACTGACCCCTGAAGGGCCACAGAGGTGGCTGTGGATGGTCATTCTGCTTGTCACCGATGGCCTCCTTTCTCTTGGAGGAAAAGTGATGACAAAACACTGGAATACAGCAGGAGAATGTGTATTGACTAAAACATATTATTATTCAATTAAACCGCTGTTCCGAAGCTAACTGTTGAGAGCTTAAAATGTGCCTGGACTCAGAGATATAAACTGATACCCAAAACAGACTACACATGGACACTTCTAAAGAAACATTATTCATCTTTGTTGCAGGTAGGAAACTGAATGCATCTTCTCTCTTTCCTCTCCTTCTGTTTTGACATCATCTTTCACCACATACTTCTGATAGTATCTTCCACAATTAAATATGCCCTGTGCCTATAGAATTTAGTTTGTTTAAACTACTGCCTTAAACTAAAGAACACAACAAAATCCTACTTTTTGTTCCAAGTGTTTCTGAAAGGACAGCAAGATGATACCTGCCACCGGTAATAACAGGTAGAAAGTTAATTATATAAACGTATGTAAAACTAACAATTGCAATGGAAATTTGTTTTAGCAAACTAGATGGATTGGGAAATCTGAAGACTCATAGTCTATATCATTTTTCTAATTGAAGATTTAATTTTGGTTTGATTGATTCTTTAAGACAAGGTTTCATAATGTTCCTGAAATTTTACAATCCATTTTCTAGAAAAATAATTCCATTAATAATAACAGTAGTTTTATGAAATTAATCTATGTAAAGTTAATTTCACAATATTTACAACTCATAGCACGCTTTTATTCTGTTCTGCTTATCACAAGAAAGCTAGTACTATTAAAAGTATCCTATGCAGGGAGATATAAAACTAGACCATACCAGTTTTCCACAGAGGATTCCACAGGTTTCTATTCCTCTCACTGTATTAGAGTCTGCCAGCTGCAGAAATTTGTGGCAAAGATCTTTTGGTAAAACTACACATCGCAGTCCTTCAACCACTAAATCTAAGAAACAAAAAAAAAAAAGAGAGAAAAAAAGCTAAAAAATAAATCTTACGTCTCCATCCTTCAGAATTGTTTTTGGCATGCAATTGCAGTTAAATATAAATTTCAAAAATACAATTATCAGGTGATCCACTTTCTATATTTTATTTAAAAACTCTTAAAAGTAAACATTGACTAGAAGGAAAGTAAAATTACATTTTGTATATAAAGTACTTATAAAGAAAGTGGGAATGTGCAAGCACTTTTACATGTCTGTGCCTTGGATCAATTATTTACATGTATGTTTTCTTTTGGCATGAAGATAATATACTGTTAAATGCATACGCTATGGAGAATGCCTCTCATATCCTATAAGACATAGGATAAACATTCTTTATTGTGTTTAGCACATGTTACTTACATCTTTATGAAAGTTGGTGATCAGTAAGTAAAGCACAACGTTTTTGGAAATAATTAGCAGTAAACTAACTTATGAAATGGTTGCCTATCATAACTCATTTAAAATAAATGGGAACACAAAAATTCCACCTGACATGTCAGGAAGAATTCTGTTTGATTTTGGAAACGTGCCAGCACTGATCTAGCAATATTGAATAGGACTAATTTTTGTATAAACACATAATCTATCTGGAGGTTAACTCTCTGTGTGTATGAGAGTCTCTTGGTTCAGTCATAATGCTAAATATACTAGGTATAAACATTTTATTGCTGAGCAAAGGTCTAGACACACAATTTTCTCAACATCTTTCCTCTCTAGTATAAGTGTTTACCTTTAAGATTTATGTGTTTCTTAGTTAAAATATATGGAATAAAAAAATGATTGGAATTCTCATTTAAAATCTCTGTTCAATGACAAAATACAGTCCCATTTATTATAGAGTTTCTGATCTACAGGGAGCAAATCATGTTTCCTGAATTTTAAGGTTATATATAGTAAAAGCCAGAGAGTGTGGAAAGGTTAGTTCTATCGCTCACATCATATAATGTAGGGGTTCTACTACAATTAATAATGAAACAAGGAGAACTCAGATGTTGTGGAAATATGGTTCCATCAGAGGAGCCTCAATGTTTTGCACGGCTGACTTTCATCACTTACTCTGAACAGCACTTAGGGTCGCAGCTGGCGTTAAGGCCCTGTTCACAGGAGGAGAGTGGCTGGCGTAATTGGTGGCATCACTTTTATTAGGTTGATCTGCAAATACATTCAGCAAGGAATTGCTCTGGTGCGGGGAAAAGCAGGACAAAGCGTTGCCATCAATCTGCTCCGACAGCGCGGCTGTGGTCTCCTGGCTTCGCATCTGACTCCGGGCTAATTCTTGCTTCTTCAGTTGATCTTCGAAAAACAGAAACTGCTCCGATTCCAGCTGCTGTTGGCGCATCTGAGCAATCCGCTTCCTTTCTGCCTCTATCAATCTCTGATGTTCCAGTTTTTTGAGAATTTCAGCTTTATATTTGTTCTAATAAATGTGGTGGCCAGAAGAAAAGGTTAGTTTCCAAGGCAAAAATATTGAACTGGGATTAGACACTTTCAATCTTCTTGCAGGCAGAGAAAAAGCAAAGTACTGGACATACACAACACCACAGCAAAAGGCCCTTGATCTGAGTAAGACTGCAGTTCTCAGTTCACTCATATTTTACCAGAGACAGGGAATGACAGGCCATGGCAATCCTGCCATTCCTTTGCATGTCTAAATACTAGAAAGTCAAGGTCAGGGTTGTCTGCTTAGCCTGACCGACAGGCCATGTGGAGCAAAAAAACTCACCTCTAGACTGCATTTCCAATATAGTAGCACTTCCAGTATAGCCACTAGCCACATGTGGTTACTTAAACTCAAATTAATCAAAATTAAATGAAATTAGAAATTCAGTTCCTCAGTCTCACTAGTCACACTTAAGTACCCAATAGCCACATAGGGCTAGTGGCTGCCATATTGGAGAATGTCACACAGAACATTTCCACCATCACAGGAAGTTCTATCGGACACTGCTACCCTAGAACCTTCTACATTTGGCTCTCTAACTCATACTCTGCTGGAACTTTATGGAGAAGGGGGAATCACTAAAAAGTGGTTCTCAAAATGTATTCCAACCACCTCTACCAGAACTAACTTGGAGTTTTGTTAAAAATGAGTCATCCAAGCTCCCTAGTCTGAACAAAATATCCAGGCATTACTATGTCAGAGAATATGAAATTTTAATAAGGTTTCCAAATGACTTTGAAAGAAACTAGATTTTAAGAGCTCCTGTAAGGTGGGGGTAAGGGGAAGGACACAGCTTACAACAGCATTTCCACATACATGGGAATCGCCCTGGGTCTTGTTACAGTTGCAAATTCTGACTCAGCAGGTCTGGAATTGGGCCTGAGATTCTGCAAGTCTAACAAGCTTCCAGGTGATGTGGGTGCTGAGGTAGCGAGGGCTCACAGGCATCTCTGTTTATCTCTCCTAGGCACAGATGCTGCCACGCTACCCCGCAGAGACTCTATGTGGAACACTATTGTGGATGTGAGGTGATGGGCATCACCAAAGGCAGAACGTGGAACAGATGATGAGGTCCTGAAGGGGAAGACAGTACGCATTGCTGAGAGTGGAAGGGAGGCTTTTCCCTCCCTTGCTACTGCTTTGTCTTAACCTTCAAGATCATTTTTATCTTTTAAGTTTCGAATCAAATTATTAATATACACCCTTGAGGGAAACTTCCAATTTCAATATTCCCTTTACCACTTAGTGCAAACACCTCAGTCAAACCAGCCTTCCAGTTATGCCCACAGAAAGTCAAGACGCTCTGACCATTTTCAGAGCTGATAAAATTGAACTGACGTGAGTCAGTGAAGGTGGCAACCTCTGAAGCAAATAAAACACAAATAAATGAAAAAAGCAAAGCAACACTTATAATAATGCTGTAAAAATTAAGAATTCACAAGTTGAACTTGGGTATCCCATAGTCTAACTAGTCATTCTCCTTTCAATGCCTTTCTGTCCCTTAAACATCATTGTCACGTTCACTCTTTATTTAATAACAATCTAGAAGCCACCACCTTTTGGTGATAAGATTACATTTCATCCATATGGTTAGATGTTATTCCATCTCAATCTAATATTGACTGTAATATTTAAGAATCAAATTCACATTTCCAAGGCTTACGTAATTAGACACATCAGAAACCATACACTGCTCTCCCTATCTCCTACTGCTTCTGTTCGTCTGGCAAAGAACAGCCATCTGGCTCAAGGTCACATGCGCAAGAATTGGTCAAAAAGCTCTATTTAAATCACTGTAAGAAACTTATTTTCTAATGCATTGCTTTAGATGCATTGCAACTAGATGTTGTAGGGATAGAGAAATATCACATCTTTGGTCCAAGTGCTTAAACTGGATGTCAACATAAATCTTTTTATTGGTTTGACATCATTGCATCTTTCCTTTTTAATTTAAATGCATGTGACATTTCAGAAACTCATCACATAAAAATGATATTCAGAAAATATTTGCACAGAAAACAGTCATGAAATAAATGTACCAATTGAACTTACTTTGCTTTGCAAATATTCTTGATATTCTACGTTATATTTCTTTAAAAGGTCCTTTTTCAATTCATCTGTCCTTGGGAATGCAATCTCCTTCAGTTTCTTTTAAAAATATAAACACATATTGATTAGTGGGATTTTCAATATACTCTTTCAGATCATCAGCTGAGAAAGAAAAACAGCTGGTATGTGTATTAGATATCAAGTTAAGTCAAGTAACCAAAGATGATGGCAGAAAAATAAATCTCTCTTTTCTAGGAGTCTAAAATACAACTTTTCTGTAGGGAAGAAAAAATACTATGGCTTTTGGAAGACCTTTATTGACTCTACTGTTCAGATAAGCATTTCATTTAGGCAGGTACTCATTTTTAGGTACTGGGTTGGTAATCAATCGCACATTGTATGTATTTTCAGCTAAAGATAGTTGGAACTATAGATGTAGCAAATATTGATGATAAATAAATGCATTGCAACAATCTTTCTTTTCTTTGAGAATATTTTAGGCCACCCCCGCCCTACCAACAACACTTTATTATCCATAAGCCCTACAGTACCATAAGAGGTAAATAGCTAGAACTCTGTGGCTGCCTTAATAATCAATACTGATTTTGAAATAGTTATTGGGATCGGGGCTGTACAGAATAATCAACACCAGCCAAAATCATTGTCTCAAACAAGTTCATTATCTCAATCTCTCCGAGGAATTGTAAAATAATTCCTTTTTCACACCATAAGGTGACATTTTCTTTCTTTCTTTTTTCCCAGCATCAATTAGACACTCATGCTTGCTGGGTAATGATCATTAAATGTCTAAGAAGAAATCGAAACATCATAGCTAATGGAATGAATTTCTTGTGCTCAAACTCTCAAGAGGAAGAGAAAGAGGAGGAAAGGAGGGGAGGGGGGAATCAATAATGGACACTTATGGAGCATTTGATCCCACAGTGGAAAGAAATCAACCCCACAATACCTTCATAATATCCTGCTTTTCGGGTACTGCACATTGCTGGTAATCTCGATGGCTAGGAAGCTTTTCTACAAACAAGCTGGAGAAATAGAAAGCACGTCCTTAGCATTAAATGACAGCAAAAGCTAAATAATGGTTTCTATTAATAATATGAGGATAAGCATCCTTTTAAAAACTGACATGTTTAATAACATATTTAACCTATAGTCTTTCCATCTGCCTTTTCAGTAAAGGTTGGCATGAGTATTATTTTAGTATCACAGTGTAGTTAAGCTCAACAAACTAGGCATTGATGCTAACGGGGTTAAGGCCAGGGTACTCCCTTAAATGGATCAAATCACTTTGGCCTTTCTCAGGTCCTGGATGCTTAACCCCACGAGAGCATCATCTTACTTATGTGCACTGCTGGCAACAGAGAGGATCATGTAAAAATGTAAGAGTTTGGAAAGACTGATATAAATTCCCTTCTCACCCTTAAAAAATACTCAAACAACCACTGATGAATCAGTTAGTGCCGTTGTGTATGTATCAAAAACTCTTAACTGAAAATTCATAATGAAGGAAAATGACAACCAAACTTCCTAGTAGAGTAGGAGGTGCTAATTAGGAGTTCATTATTTCTCATCACCTTTTTGAGGAACAACAGACAGCAGACTTGAAGGAAAATCCCTACAGCAAACCAGGTGCATCACTTGCAGGTAAAGTGAATATACCGCTCCACAAGGGCAGGGATTCTCTCTTTTATTCACTGATGTATCCCTAGTCTGAAGAATAGCATCCAGCTCATAATCAGTGCTCACTAAATATTTGTAAAATGAATGAATAACCCTTCCTTGATAGATCATAATGGGCTATATATACTATTTCTGATCAACTACTATGTTACACCTTATACTTAATGATTCTATTGTTTACAAATCTGTCTCTCACACACACAAATATATTCATATAAATGTTTTTATCACTTCATTTCACCTAATGATAAGGCTATAGAGTAGACAGAACCGGTAGCATAATTCCTACTTCTCAAATGAGAAAATCAAGACTTAAAAAGTCTACATAAAAGTTGATAGCTGCCTAAAGCTTTATACATAAATAAAATTTATATATAAATAAAACCACAGATATGTAGTCTTTAATTTGTAGATGAGGAATGGAAGCCCAGGGAGAATAAATGAATTATAAATTATCCACCACTAATGCCATAAGAGAATTCAAATATTCTGATTATTCAGTAATTCAGAAGGTACAGTGAATCTTCCCCTTCACCACACTCACAATTCCATAGGAGCAGATGCAAAACCAAAGTAGAAGGTGACAAGGAAATATTATCAATTGGTGACTTATAGTTCAGAAATAAAAAGTTTTGGAAGATTTTATCTATCAATAGTGGAGGATAACCTCCAATTTCATATTTAATGCTTAACTTTCTAAACACAAGTGATTTCCCCAAATAGGGTAAAAGTTGCCAACCATTCTCTCAATTTTCAAGTTAAGTGACTTGAATAAAATGCCAATCTGGTAGCTCACCCCATAATCCCAGCACTTTGGAAGGCTAAGGCAGCAGGATCACCTGAGGGCCAAGAGTTCCAGACCAGCCTGGTCAATAGTAGGACCCCATCTGTACAAAAAGTAAGTTGGGCATGGTGGTGCATGGCTATAGTCCCAGCTACTCAGGAGGCAGAGGAGGATAACTTGAGCAGGAATTTGAGGCTGCAGTGAGCTAAAATGATGCCACTGCACTCTAGCCCAGTCAAAAGAGTGAGACCCTGTCTCAAAAAATAAAATGCAGAGCCCAATTTGTATGCCATGTAAATTGATTTTAACTTTGCCCTTGGTAGAATCATAAAATGCAGTTTTAAAAATATTTTATCTTTTCAACTTCCTAAATGTTGTCGGGGTAAGTCTCCAACTAAGCTAGTGAATTTATAAGTGAAATAAGCCAGGCAAAGAAAGACAAATAATGATTTCACTTATATGTGGAAGGAATCTTAAAAAGTCGAATTCATAGGAGCAGAGAATAAAATGATGGTTACTAAGGGCTGGGGGTGTGGGGCTGGGGGGTGGGGAGATGTTGGTCAAAGGATATAAAATTTCAGTTAGACAAGAGGAATAAGTTCAGGAGATGCAGTGTACAACACAGTGATTATAGTTAATAACAAAGTATCCTATACTTGAAAATTGTGAAGAGAACAGATTTTAAATGTTCTGACTACAAAAAAAAGGTACGTGAAGTAATGGGTATGTTAATTAGCTTGATTTAACATTTCACAATGTATGCAAACATATATCAAAACGTCATGTTGCACACTATATATATAATTTTTGTCAATTAAAAATAAAATCAAAAAATAAAAATTAATAAAGTTAATCAATGTGTCCTTCAATTAAAACAAAAAATATGTTCAGCATAGATTTTTCAGGGATGTTTTGATATAGCCATTTTCATTCAACATTTTGAAAGTTCTTTTGTACATGGTATTCTTACATAGCCAAATAAACTGTTTTAAAAAAACAACAACACTAAGTAATATATGAAACTGATTACTGTATCTTATCCCTGAACCTGAATCAGCTCTTTCCTTTGTTTCCCAACTTGTCAACCAGTCTGAAACCACCAAATCAAATTTTTAAAATATTGATGGCATGTTCTAGGTACTATCGATGGAGCTGCAATATAGCTCCTGCTTTCATACAGCTTATATTCCTGTGGGGGAGAAGCACATGAAATCAGAAATTGTATTTGTGAACGGTGAGACATGCAGGTTCCTGTGTTGACCTGTTGAGAGGGAATCTGGTATCCCTCAGCCTCATCCCCTGCTGGACCTTCTTCCTACCCCCAAGCCTCAGAGATGATCTGAGAACGCCTTTGAATACATTACTAGGTAATTTAAAAACTTAGACATTTAATGCTTTTGGAGATTGTAATATTGGCCTGAACATGAAAATATTCCCAGTATCAAAACTGCCCCATCAAAATATCATTTATTTTTCCAATTTTCTCATTTCAAAGGTCTCCAAAAGACTTACGTAATAAATTTATTATAAAGAACAAAGGCATTTTCCAAGTTTCCTTCTTCCAAATACACAGATGCCATCCTCTCCATTTCTACTCCAGATCTAAAGTAGCGTCGTGGAGTGATGTCTTCACTGATGGTGATATTACAACCAAGCTTGCTTAGAGCACGGACTCGCTCTTCTGGGCTCAGGGAAACATCCGTATGGTCAGGCATAGCAGCTAACTTTTTCTGCAAAGCAAAATTTAAATCTCTGATTATAATAAGAAAATATGACTGGTATTACGGATGTATTTTCTCTACTAAAAACCTGACACCAATACCTAAGAAAATTATGTGGAAGTTTCTGGGTATGCAAATGTTTTAGGTCATTTTAGGTAAAATATCTAAAATATTTCATATGAGGATGTTGGTCCTCAAATCCCTGTGAATGTCTCCATTCTGAGTCATGTGAAGCAGGCCACGAGATGGATTCCTGCCATGGTAGAGCTCATGGCATTCTACTCTGAAGGGTCTCCAGGAGATAGCTTGGATTAAAAGTTACTATTTATATAACAGTTCAATTCTATTCCAGAATATATCGAGTTTAATAAGTTTTCGGGGCTTCATTGCATCTTCATTGAGTGAAAAAAGAACATACCAATAAGTCTTAGAGAAGCCTTTTCAAGCATAAGAACACCATCCCCATTTTTTTAAAACATAAAAAAACTCCACACAACACTAATTATATTGTTAATTAGTTCTAGACTGAGAAAATAATAAGTTACTAAGAAAAGTGAGTGCTATTATTTAGGTTATTAGGTATGAAATGTCTGATTTCCTTAAGTACTAAGTTTGACAGTTGATATCTCTGATATTTCACTTTGACACTTCTTGTTATACTTTTATTGTGAAGGTACAGCCTCGTTCTTTCAAATGCATGGTTTAGCTTGTATTATCTTTCAAAATTTTTTTAGAGTAATTTTTGTGAAACCATGGATAAGTCAAAAATTCGTGTTATTTTCGAATATGAGTTCTCTTGTGAAACCAGGTGCAGTGCAGACAGCTCAAAATATCAACCACGTGTTTGGGAAGGATGTGGCTAATGAATGCACAGTACGTGGATGGTTTGAGAAGTTCCATTTTGGTGATTTTAATCTTGAAAATGAGCCACGTGGGCGGCCTGAGACCAAGGTAGATAATGATGAGCTGAAAGCTGTAGTGGAAACGAATCCACTTTTCAACCTACGTGTGAATTAGCAGCACGGTTTGATATTACTATTCCAACAATACTGGGCCATTTGAAACAAATAAGCAAGGTAAAGCAGCTGGATAGATGGGTTCCGCGTTAATTAAACGAGTGTCAGAAAAGAATTAAAGAAGCATCAGAAAAGAAATCATCTCAAAGCTTGCTTTTCTTTGCTGTCACAACATAAAGGCGAACCATTTCCACACTGTATGGTTACATTTGATGAAAAATGGATTCTTTTTGACAATTGCAAGCGTTTTGCACAATGGTTGGATAAAAATGAAGTGCCGAAATACAGTACAAAACCAAATAGTCATCAAAAAAAGCTAATGGTGTCTGTCTGAGTGTACAGCACTGCTATTATCCACTATAGTTTCATGAAACCTGGTTAATGGATTATAGCAGATGTCTCTTGCAACCAATTGGACTAAATGATGAGGATGCTTGTGATTATGCAGCTGAGATTGGTCAATAGAGACAGGCAATCCTCTTGCAAGACAACGCTCGACCACATGTCGCACAAACAACACTACTCAAACTACAGAGATGGGACTTGAAACCCTCTGTCACCAACCGTATTCACCAGACCATGTACCAACTGACTACCACTTCTTCCCAGCTTTGGAGCACTTCTTGCAAGGAAAAATATTCAATTCTCAACACGCTGTGAAAAATGCCTTTCGCAATTTCATTGCCACTAGCTCTCAAGGCTTCTTCGCTGCTGGCATAAGCAAGCTGCCGTTAAGATGGCAAAACTGTGTTGATAGTTTAGGTGCTTACTTTGATTAATTGTATTGCTTCTTGTTTGAGATATAATAAACTAAACTTTTGATTCGAAATAGTACATTTCATATTTAATGACCTAATAATTAATACATTTGAGTTTTATTAATAAAAACCATAGCTATACATTTGGTAAAGCATAGAACACCCACAATCGGAATAATTATTCAATAAAAAGTCAGTGCTTGAGAAAGGCAAAAAGTCAGGAAATTTTTTCTATTAAGGGCTGGATAGGAAATATCTTAGACTTTGCCAGTCACATGGTCTCTGAGGCACCTTGAATCAGTTCTCTCAGCATGAAAGGCGGCATAAACAAAAAATGCAAACGAATGAGCCTGGCTGTGTTCCAAAAATTATTATTTATAAAGCCAAGCAGGGGATTTGGCCTTTAGAGTATAGTTTGCTGATCCTTACTTTAGACCAATATGTCTTAAAGTATGATGTTCTAGCATCATAAGCATCAACTAGGAGTTTCTTAAAAATGCAAACTCCTAATAGGCTCTAGCTCAATCTACAGACACAGTATCTCTGAAGGGAGACTGGAGAATCGACGCGAACTGGTGTTCCCAGAGGTAGTTATGCATGCTGTAGTTTGAGAAGCACGGCTCTAGACCACCCACTCTCCCATCACTGCATTCTCCAAGAATGGAGTTAGCCCAGAGCAAATTTAGCTTTCCCTGGCCTCCTCAATCAGTTTAAGGGTAGGTTGCAAGTCTGACTGCAGTGTGGGTGAAGCACTTGATTCCAGTCTGTGGAAAGCTGTGAAAGAAATCAAGTAGGCATACTTTTAGTCTGGCCATGGATTACTGAACCAGCCATTAGGGGCAGGCTGCAGTAAATTAGATATTTGGAGTTTTTCCAATGCCATCTGGTCTACTTTGGTGGTAATTTTATAGCCGATAGAACCACAGAGATCTGAAATGATTCTTGGTCCTAAAGGTTTAATACATAACGAGAGAACCATAAACTTGTTTCTCAAGGCTCCATTAAGTCAAAACCACATTGTGTCTCCTGCACCTTCTATTATGTGGCTTCCCCACATCAGAGACAGGAATTGGAGCTTGTGAGCTCCGAGCCTCAGGCTTGAGTATTCGCAGTCTTTTTCAACTGAGACATCTCAAATACTACAGCGATCCACTCACATTTACATAATCACACTCACCTGTAGAACTCAACAGCCCTAAATGAAAATACTGTTATTCGACCACAGGTAATTACTTCAATGACATCAGAAAATGACTGGAAAAAATCTATGCAAATTAGAGCATTTTCTAGGATTTACTATTATACAGTACACTGAATTATAATTATTTCTGTACAAGTGTTTCTAACCCCTTATGAACTTCTTGGAGTTTTGAAAGTCATAATTTTCCATTTATCTCTGTTCCCTGGGATGTAGTATATTCCCTGCAATATAGGTGATAATAAGTGTGTCAAGTAAAAGAGAGAAAAAAGTGAGGAAGAAAGAAAAAGGAGCAAAAAAAGACTCCAATTAGATTACCTTTTTTCCCTGACGATAGAAGTAAAAGTGATTTTTCCTTTACTGAATGATCCTATCCTTCTCAAATTTAAAATTGATTTCAGAGATAAGCTGGAAAACAACCTCAAGTCTTCATCAATCTATAATATTTCATTTGCATGTGAGTCTCGGATAAAAACACAAATTTTTCAGATGAAAAGCCTTAGTGTTTATTTTTACAGTGACATATATAACAAATTTTAATTACTCCTATATGTTGCTCTAGAAAAACACAGAAGACATGTCATACAGACGAGTCCTTCCTCTGTACAGGGGGAAATGGGGCAATCTGTATTAACCCACACTGGAATGACAACATGGGGTCAGAAAGTGAAAAAGCTTCTGCAATTGTCTACTTCTAAACATATTCTAAAAACAACTAAGCTCCTGTGAAGGACTTTTTTGAACAAGAGAAAACATTAGGTCACAACCTATTTCAGTACAAGAACCAGGCCCTCTCTTCCTTCATGTCCTGGTGCTAGGCTTTGTGTGTACAGGGTATCTAGTATCCTGCTAGGCTACCGCTACAGGGCTGCAGTGGGTGGGTTAGAGAAGATCGTCAGGTAGAGGGGAATGGTAATGACAGCTGTCAATTATAGAGCCACAGCGACAGTCTGGGAGTATCAAACATATTGTTTCCAATCGTCATAAGGCACAAAGTACAAAATCAGGGCCATGGAGATTACATAACATGCCTATATTCACACTCAGAGACTGATCTGGGACACAGAGTAAGCCCATGTGATCCTAAAGCCCGTTATTTTCTCTCCAGCAAAAGCATCTTTTAAGATGGAGCTAGAGAAAGTGCACATGGTGCTGGGCAGTGAGGGGAAAAGTGAGAACAAGAGTTTCAAGTGTGCAGATATTTACACAAGAATCCAAAGCTACATCCAGGTGTTAAATATATGTTTCCCTTAGTTATTATCCCACAAGGTGAGCCTCCAATTTTTATCTGCAAAGAAGCTGAGGCACCAATGAGGTTTAAGTACCTGCTAAGATGTTAATTCTGAAATTCTTCTTTCCGGTGTTTGCTGAAAGATTATACGCCTGGAATCTTGCCAGATAAATTAAAATTTCAGACTTTTCCGGGAAAAAAAAAGATCTATTTTTAAATCTTGTTCAGATGGCTTTATTAGTCACTTCCTCAAAAGAGACGACCACACTGATGAAAAACTATTAACACAAGGGCTAAACTTCTTAAAGTAATTGTGACTCATTTCACATTTGGTATGTTTCTGTTCTTCTTTCTGGGTTTTCCAACCATATGTGAAATATTGGTGTGACCTACCAGAGAATTCACAGTAAGTGGCTGATCCATGTTGTTCTGTCTACAAAGATGAAGATGTTCACTGTTTCTTCTCAATCACTTCATCTGTTTCAAAGACAAAAAGCAGAGCTACAGTTATTTTGTGAGAACCAAAGTCTCGAATCCCAAACCCCAGAGTTATTCCTGCCTCAGAAGAACATGAACAAATTGACATAACTTATATAATCTGAATGTTAATACAAAATGGCAAAACGGCATTTTGAAAATGCTGAAAATACAAAACGGCAGGTGGTTATGGTTTCTTGAAGCTGACCATCAAAAGTGGAAGTATGAAGGGAACTGATGTTTGACCAGCTCCCCGTAGGAATCTGCTGGGGGTTACCTTACTTAGAACTCTATGCAAGGTTATGAAGTATTATAGGGTCACCTTCTTCAAAGGAAAAAAGAAGATCATAGTGGTTAAAAGCATGAACTCTGGGGCCATAGACTCTTCAATCTGAAGCCAGTCTGGGTTTAAACTCAGCCTTAGAGCTGTGGTACACAGATTTTTAGGATGGCTCTGTGACTCCTACTCCCTTCTTATCCATAGATTTGCATAATCCTCTCCCCTTGAGTGTCGATGAGACCTGTAACTGGCTTCTAATCAATAGAAGATAGCAAAGGTGACAGAATATGACTCCCACGGTTATGTGACATCATGTGGCAAAGATGAAGAGATACTGTAAGGCCCCTAATTAGTTGATGTTAAGTTAATCAAAAGGGAGCTCATCCTGGGTGGGCCTGACCTAATCAGGTAAGACCTTGAAAAGGAATACTCTCTTGCTGGCCTTAAAGACTCAGCTGCCATGTGTTCCACAGATACAGGAAATTTACTCTGCCAATAACTACCTAAGCTTGGAGGAGGACTCTGAGCCTCTGACGAGACCCTAGCCCAGGTCAACACCTCAAATGCTGTCTTGTGAAACCGACAGCAGAGGACCTAGTTAAGCCGTGCCCAGATTCCTAAAGAAATAAACCAGAAAAAAAGACTTTAAAAGAGTTAAAGAGACAGAACAAAGGCTTATGGGGAACATGAGTGGGGAGAGAGGGGAACCACAGAGTACTAGTCAGTCACTGATTAGGGACTTGTAAAAGAGGAGAACTATTTCTTTTAAGGGTTACTCAGATCCATAAACAGAGAGCAGACAATTTTAAAAGTTGGAAACACTAGGACAGTGGTTCTTAAATTTTAGTGTACCCAAAATAATATAAATCATTTAAAATGCAGATTCTTAGGACTCACCCACAACGAGTCTGAATCTATCAGTTTTAGGCCCACCAACACGCATTGTCAGGATATGATTTCAACACATGAAGTTTCCAAACAACACTTTGAGGGTCACTGCATTTGAGAATGCATTAAGCAGGATTCTTAGTTGCAGGCAAATGTGCTGACTCTTGAATTCATAGAAAGATCATGGAAAAACCACAAATTTCTAGCAGGGCCAGAGAAATCAGGCTTGGAAGCTACACATTCAAGAACATCACCCCAAATCACAGAGCAGCATGGGTCTGGTAAAAACACCACTGCTGTCTCTGTCACTGATGACAGGGGAGCCTGCAACTTCTACCACCAACACCAGCAACTCCAGCAACTCCCTGCTGCCCTGGAAAGGATGTGCAGCTGCCATACACTTCTGCGTGTCCCTAGTTTCTATTTCAAAGCATGAGCCGGAGGTGTCTAACTGGCAGAGTCTAGGCCACGCGCCTGCAGTCTGGCTACAAAGATGGCTGAAAATGCAAATATCCAGGCTTTCTATTCCTGTAGGAGGCAGTGGGATGTGCCAAAGAGAAAAGATGGATTCAGGGTTGGGTGACCAAAAAAACAATGTTAAATGTGCACCAGAACAAACAAACTTCTATGTAGTGAGCTTCTGTATGTACGAAATGTTTAATTAAACATATCTTAAACACCAAAAGTTATTAAATTCCTACAGATAAAAACAATCACTATTAGTTCACACATATAAATTTATCAAGAATTCAGAAACAGAAACCAACTTCCCTCAAATCTAAGATGAAAGAAGTTCACAGATTGGTTGGTCAACTTATTTTCTGAACCATTAATTACTTGATGGCAGTGGTCCTGTCTTAATTTCTTTATTTTTAATCTCTAGTCTTGGTACTTACAGTTGCAATATAAATGATTACCAAAGTTAACTTAAACATGTATCTTCTCTAGATCAGTAGCTCTCAAAGTATGGTCCAGGTTCCCTAAGATCTTTTTAGGGGGTCTGTGAGGTCAGTATTATTTTCATAATATTACTAAAACATTACCTGCTTTTTTAACATCAATTTCTCCTGATTGCATAGTGGAGATTTCCAGAGGGTATAATGGTTAATGGAATGTTTACTTGCATACTCTTCTAAATGTCTGTTTTAATTTTTAATATAGTATATATAAATAGATATAACCCACATAAACAAAGCTTTTTAGTGTCCATAGTAATTTGTACAAGTGCAAAGACATTCCAAGACCAAAAAGTTTGGAAACCATTGCTCTAGATCAACTATGCAAACAAACAAAACAAAAACTCACTATGCTATTTAAATCTAATTAGAAATAAAGTGGGTCGTAAGAATCTAAAGTAGGAAAAATTAATGGCAAATATCACCTTCCATTTGTGCTACTAGGGTCTTACTAAAATAATCAGAAAATTTAAACTGAAAGTGCCATGACAGGTACTTTACCTCACAGAACCTGAGACCCACAAGTACAAATGCAGCAGACTGCTAAATGCCTAGTTATACCCATTATCTCTTTCTGGTGTCAACATAATTTTTAGCTGACACACGGCCATGCAGCTAAAACCCACATTTTCCAGCCTTTCTTGGAGTAAGGTGTGGCCATGTCACCAAGTTTTGGCCAAAGGGGTGTGGACAGAAGTGATCAATCAGAGTCTGGGTCTTGTACTTTGGAGGAAGGGTCATGGCCTTCTCCATCCATCCCTTCCCCTTCATCCAGCTGACAGGAAGGTGAGTCACCTTGGGTCACGACAATGAACCATGACAAAGCAGAAAAAGGAGCACCCTAGTTTGCTTAGAGACTATTATGAGAGAGACAAATGTCTATCTTGTTTAATATTTTGAGTCTTTGTTTAGGCAGTTGGACCTGTATCCTGAAAAAGGCAGCAAGTTTAACCTAGAAATCTGGGATGATTCAGTATAACCCAAGGGAGACTACTGCTGGTGCTGATAAGGAAAGGCATATCCTCTTTCCTCACCTCAGCACCTTGTATGTTCTGCAACCACACACTTACCCCAGGGACAGGAAGTAGCAGACACATACACCTTTCTCCTTTCCTCCCCTCAGTTCACCTAAATCCTGCCCAGTCTGTGAGATTCCACTTACCTAGCTAGATGTTTACGACTTGTTCAGAATCATACCACACAATCCCTCAAACTAGTAGATATTATAAGGTACAGCTCCAAGGCCAGCATTTAGTTGTCATAAATGTTTAATTTGGTTGTTGTAATAACCTTTAACTTTTGAATTAGTCATCAACATTTAAAAATTGGGAGATTTCACATAAAAATTAAGATTTCTGGATTCTATTTTTTTTTTTTTTAAGCTGGGCATGGCAGTATGCACCTGTAGTCCCAGCTACTCGGGAGGCTGAGGCAGGAAGATTGCTTGATCCCAGGAATTCAAGGCCAGCCCGGGCAACATAGTGAGACAAACCCCTGTCTCTGAACATAAAAATTAAAAGAAAAAAAAAAAGAAAGAAAAAATCAGAGGATCTAGCACTAGCACCACTGGGCCTCAGTTGCAGTATCTGGAGCATTTATTTATTCCAGCAGCGGATCAAGCAAATAGAATGTTTAGTCTCTGATGAGGAAATTGAAGCCATTTTCATTTATATAATATTTTCCACTCCAACAGGAGGAAAGGCAAGGCAAACAGCTTAAGTGCCATAATTATAAGCAAATGGTACTTCAGGGAAGGAAGTAATCCGTGTAACATCAATTACACAAGAGAGCTGGCATGACACTGGCAGGGCTGCCTTCTCTAATTCCTCACATTTCAGCAACTAACATGGGGAAGACAGGTTGAAGATGACTTCAGGTGCTAAAGATAAAATAAACATTGCAATTTGGAGGATCAGAAATATATTGAAGCAGGACACACAGAAAGTGCCAAAAGCAGATAGATAGAAAGTATTCAATGTCAAGCAAGAAGAAAATATAAACTCGCTTAGGGTGAGACAAGCCTGGGTGTGATCTTGGCTCTATCATCTACTTACTAACTGACTTACTATCATCTACTTACTTAACTTATTATCCTTACTGAGCCCCTAGGAGGCTCACTCTCCTCATTCACAGTGGGGCTTACCACAGCCCCACTCCACTGCTCTCAGAGTGGCTTACAGCTAATTGCAAACATTCATCAGGAATGCCCGATTGAATCTCAGCCTGCTCCCTAACCTCTGCCCCCAGCAGGGCCACATTCTTGTAGGCCGATAGTATCTGAACTGCCCTTGTGATCTATCTAACCTGTAGGATACCTCTTCAGAGTTCCCTTTGCTGTAGAGCTCCTACCTTCTTGCTTTTATCTCTAGCCCTTTTTCCTCACTGGAACCTCCAAAGATAATAATTTTTTTTTCTTTAAACTGACCTTTTATAGGGAACTGGAAGAGCTTTCTGTTCATCCTGATTCACAAAGGCATGGGGAACCGGCCTGTCAGAACCACACACATTGACAACGAGCACATGGAGGTGACCCTATCCCAGAGGCTCAGCTAACAGGTAGCTCCTGGGATCAACTGAGCAGTGGACTGTGCCCAGAGAGGATGTGGCAAAAATGTGGCCCCATCCATGAGTGGCTTGGGAGGGAGCCAGATCCCTCACTAAACTGACATTTCACAGCTCTGAGCTTATAAACGTTTACTCTCCCCACACCCAAGAGCAGCATCCTCTCGGTTTTTGGGTCCCTTCAATGTCTCCAAGTTTCAACTCCCCTGAGGAAGTGTGGAAGAAACTCAGGATTCTGCCTTTTAAAACCTGCAGCAAATAATGCCAAGAATGAACAGAGGAAAATATCTGACCTAGTATGGTGCTTATTTTGT